GGTCATTTAATATCAAAGTAAAATTTATATTTTAAGTAGGCTTTAAAAATGTAATGTGAATTATGCTATGTGAGGGATTTTATTTATTCATTTGAGAGAGAATGAGATAGAGAGAGCATGAGAGGGGGGAGGGTCAGAGGGAGAAGCAGACTCCCCGCTGAGCAGGGAGCCCGATGCGGGACTCAATCCCGGGACTCCCGCCGAAGGCAGTCGCTTAACCAACTGAGCCACCCAGGCGCCCCTTGACACCATTTCTGATTACAGTTGCAAAAACACAACATGAGTCTCGAGGTATTGATGACCATCCTCTAAAGGGTCACAAGGGGGAGACACATCTCCTTTGAAAGCTGATCTTTATAAAATGGGTCCCACTGCACTCTCCAAAGGAAAGTTGGGTTTTCCTTTCTTTAAAATGAAAGGGGAGAGAATATTTCAAAAGAGCTCTTATTTGTCCTTGACAGGTGTGTGAAACCTCTAGGATAATGAATAGCATGAGCAGCATGATTCCAAAACTGTAAAAATTGTTAAAATCATATACGTTGTGCATATTTATAGGGAGAGGCCTGGAAGAATGGTCACCAAGTGGTAATGATAGAATTTGGGGTAACTTTGCTTTCTCCCCCCTTTTTTGTAAAATTATGCTGCTTGAATTTTTCCATTTTACAATGAGCATTTTATAAAAATAAAAATAAAATGCCCTTTCAAACTTTTTAGTGGCAAGCACTGTCAATAATCAACTCTGATAATATTTAACCATCTTAAAGGTCAAAAAAAGCTTTTAGTTTTTGTCATTAAAGATGAAAAGCATCAGTACATGAGTTTGATATTTGTCACCCAGAGTGTTGGCAGGTTTTAAAGATGCTCTTGCTCTTTTCTATCATACTGACCATAACTGAGCTACACATTTTAAACTGATATATTTCCTGAGTAGAGTTTCACCTCAATTTGTTCTTCCTTTGAAGTCAGATCAGTGGAACATTTTCTATTTCTCTCCTTTCAAAAAAACAGTAAATGAACATGAGGTTTGCAAATACAAAATGGGCAGTGAAGAGGCATTGGTTGAAAACAAAACTTCTCACATCTGATCTAAAGAAATAAAAACGGCTGTTGTCCCTCACCTCTGAAGAAAGATGGTTGGGTGAGCCTTAAAAACATGGAGACTACAGGGGTCTACACTGTGTGAGCACGGTAGAAGGAATGTAGGTTTGTGAGTTGGAAAGAAAGCATATGCATCCTGGTGCCTCCATTTACCAGCTGTGGGATCTTGGGCAAGTTACTAGATCACTCTTCATTTTAGTTTCATTTTCTGAAAAATGAGCACCATAATTCCTACCAGCAAGGAAAGTTGTTGTGAGGATTAGTATGTCAAAATACTTCACGCCATGCCTGTGTGTTGTACTACATTCTTCCTCCCTCTGCAGAGGACAGTGGTAATAGTTAATTATTTTCATTCAAAACTCTCATAAGAAACTTCAATGGTACGTGCATCTGCTTGGTCCTCCGAACTCAGGAACGTGGACTGGCGTCCACTCTGAGGCAGGCTCTGTGTAGGTATTTTGGAGGCTCACAGGGCATGCATATCTATCCCTTGCCCCGGGGGTGGGGGGTACACCGCTGCTCAACCCCTCTTTGTGCTCAGATTAGTCTCATCTTGGCCTATCTTTTACAAGTCCTGGCAACAGAGTAAGTCTTTTTGATCAAAATCTCTGTACCAAGCCACAGAACGCCTTGGAACAGAGTAGATACTATTATTCAGGTAATGAAAATGATAAAGAAACTTCCTGCACACTGTACAGGAAATCATCGACAAGGTTTTTTCTCTCCCCACAGAAAAACACCCACGTGGATTACATTCTACAACTCCTCTATCTTTAAGACTAAATAAATTACTGCATATAAAAATGAGATCAATTTAATCTGCATCTCCAAGTTTCTACATGCGCTGCTTCTCAAAGGCCTGGCTCACTGATGAGGCTCTTAGACGAACACCTTGAAAAATACAGATTTAATAGACTTAAGCTCCTGCGTTTATAAATATGGACCAGACCACAACCTATATTCAAGCCTATCCTATTAAGATTCCAGGACCGGTGAGCAACACAGCTGGTGCTAACGGTTTAGAAAGCATTGATGGGGAAAATCCCACCCACTGACGGAATTTCTGGGCAGGGCTCCGGGAAAAGATGAGACGGTTTCATTACAGGAGAGGGACATTCCAGTGGCTCTGGCAACGCCAAGCCGGGGGACCGCTGTTCTAGCGTGGCGTGTAACTGCCTGGGGAGCTGGCACAGAGGCCCGGATGTTCATCCTCTTGCGTTCTTCACCAGCTGACCCCGGAAATGCTGCACACAAACTCTGACCCCAGTGGTCACATCTGCAAACCACACACGAACTACCAGGGTAATCTCACATCCAGGGCGACTGTAAATTCATGGCCAGAGCTTTAGCTGGGCCCTTTGCACAACTCAGCCACATCACGCAGCTAGGAGCCCTATTGGTCCAGCTCCACATTCACGAGCTGTGTATCCCTCGGCCAATTATTCAACTTCTCTGTGCCTCTGCATTTGAAGAAGAGGGGTAATGATAGAAATGAGGGCATAGGGTTTCTGTGAAGAATGTGAAGACCTGGGAAAAAAAGGACTGCGGGGGGCTGACTGCCCATGACCTGAGCTGGAACAAGATGAAACCAAGACCCTGGGTGAGGGGTGGAAAAGGAAGCGGGGAGGAAGGGAGGGAGACTTCCTAGAGCACCTGAGGTATCCCTAAAATGCTGAGAAATTAATTTTATTTTAAATGCATGATGGGAACTCTCAATTTCAATGAACCTCCACAAAGACTTTCCAAAAATGAATAGTTTTGTGAATGTATGTATCTGCTGATAAAGTGAGGTAATGTTCTTGTAAATATGAAAGAAACACTAAAAAAATTGTATTTCTCTCTCATGTTATTTTAGGATCAGAACTCTGAGCACTTTCAAGAATTTAAACATCATTGACAAATTTACAAAACAACTTGTACATAAATGCTTCCAAAATAAGAAGAAAGGGGTGTATTGCGGGCACTACAATATCATGCCATTTTTTTTTT